ATGGTGCAAGCAGTCGTTCACAAACGCATTGACAAGCATAAAGGTTTTGCGATATACAAGACGATGGAGTGACGATTACAATTCATAAACATAGGCCCGCGTTTACGTGAAACGACAAGCGTAAAAACCATACGAAAACAATTACACACATACACAAACACACACGCGCGCGCGCACGCGCGTAGGCACATGTTTCACTCTTTCTCTTACCTATCAATCTATCTCATTTTCTTCATATCTATCTATCTATCTATCTATCTATCTATCTATCTATCTATCTTTCAATCTATTCTCAGTCTCTTCAAATCTATCTATCTATCTATCTATCATTTTTAAATCCGACTTTGGCAAGGTCAGGACTGTTTATGTTCTGGGACATAATTAGTCTAGAAAATAAACTCAAACATAATTTTACACACGCACACACACTGTCTATCTGTTTTTTTCTCTCTCTCTCTCTATATATATATATATATATATATATATATATATATATAGAGAGAGAGAGAGAGAGAGAAAGAGAGAGATGGAGGGGAGAGAGGGGTGAGAGAAAGAGGGAGGGGTGTTTGTGTAGGCGCGTACGTGTGGATGCCCACCTATATATCATAAGTATATATCTATGAAAAAGCAATGTATATAAAATCTGTATGCATGTGTGTTTGGCTCCCTATTTTGATGCAGGGAATATTATTCTATCTATCTATCTATCTATCTATCTATCTATCTATCTATCTATCTATCTATCACAGTGACTATTCATATCTATCACAGAGACTGTTCATATCTTTCTATCTACCTAACCAGCACAATCTATCTATCTATCTATATCTATCTATCTATCTAGGAACAGCACAAAGGTAAAAAAAATACCAGAATCTCTTCTTTTTTTTCCATATCTCATTGACTGACGAAGCTTTAATAAAAGTTGGATATGCCAGATTAATAAGCGTTTCCTACATATATATATATATATATATATATATATATATATATATATATATATATATATATGTATGTATGCGCGTTTGTGTGTGTGTGCGCGCGTTTGCACATCGGGGGCAAAACCTATATATATATATTTGTGTGTTTGTGTGTGTGTGTGCGTCTGTGCTTGTCTCTTTTATTAGCTAATTTTATTGTTGTCAGATGCGAAATTAACAGAAAGAATAGCAAATAAAAAGGAAAAAAGAAATTAATGACTTTACAGGCTGCTTTGAATATCAGCGTTTTATACCATTGTTTGAATCTATCTATCTATCTATCTATCTATCTATCTATCTATCTATCTATCTATCTATATCTATCTATCTCTGCCCGTCTATCCGTCTATCTGTGCGTGTGCAGTTAACGAATTAAAAAGATAAAAAAATGGATATATACTGCTAAAAAAGTTAAGTGATGTAATGTTAAAAATAGCAAATAAATTCACACAGACGCACACACACATATATACGTATATTTCAAGCATGAGATATTGACACATACAGACACGCATTTTCCTGCACATTGTATATTTGGAAATAGAAACAATTATATCTTCAAACACACAAATGCACCTACATTCATAAAACACATGAACAAATTAACGAAAGAATTTAAACACATGACTGTTTAGAAACAAGTGCATATATTAAACATTGTCAGAAAATACATTACAGTTGACACTGAAAATCATAGCTAAATTTTGACGGAAATACATTTATAAATACGAAATTGTTTGCTATCTATCTATCTATCTATCTATCTATCTATTCTATAGATACGTGACCTCAAGGAAATAACATCGATAGATAGATAGAGAGATAAATAGATAGAATAAGAATGAAAGAGAGATTTTATCTATCTATCTATCTATCTATCTATCTATCTATCTATCTATCTATCTATCCACGTCTGCTCAAATATATTTATCTTTGTAAATCTCTTCTAATCTACACATCTTTCTTAGTTCCAACTTATCTCTCTCTCTCTCTCTATATATATATATATATATATTTATATATATAAAAAATATATATGTGTGTGTGTGTGTGAGTAAATTAGTTAAATAATTAAATATATAATTTCTAACTATTTCAATATAATTTTGTTAGTAAATCTCTTCCGTTCTATCTATCGTTCCATTTTCCTCAGTGTGTTCTAATCTATCTATCTATCTATCTATCTATCTATCTATCTATCTATCTATCTATCGACACGTGGCAACATTTTATGTTAAATATAATTTCTCAAAGTCAGAAATGAAGTAAAGGCAAAATCACCACATACAAAAATACGTATTTATAGAAAGGATGCCAGCCACATCCTGATATTTAGAAATCTCGACTCAGCCAGTTCCGAGAGAAGTGAGTTCGTTTCACTCAGAAGGCTTCCAATACTGTACTCTATTCCGAAGCTAAGCACAGTAAAGATTTATGGGCATTTTTAACCTATATGTACATTCTTACATATTCAGAAATGTATTAATTTATTGAGAATACTGGGCAAACGACATTTGAAAGCACACCCAACTTAATGTTACGCAGCATGCGCGAAATGTTATCTTTCTCACTGCAGGTTCGGTAGGAAATATAGTTAATGAAACAGTACGCGTTGTTAGTGACCCTAACTGCCAACCACAACGACATAGAGATTTGGGTTGATTTGTTTTACGGTATATCAACGTCAATGGGTTATTTAATGCCGAAAATATTTTTATTGTTGGTAATATTTTGTTTTGTCAAAAATCTATTTCTGGTAATATTTTTCCTTCAAAAATCTATTTCTGGTAATATTTTCTTTCAAAAATGTATTGCTAGTAATATTTATTTTTTAAAAATATTGTTGGTAATTTTTTTTTTTTAAATGTATTGCTGGTAAGAGTTTTTTTTTCCTCAACAATTTATTTTTGGTAATTTTGTTAAAGTATATCTGGTATTAAAACCTATTTTTACACTTTGTTTTTGTTATGGTCCGGTTCCTTGTACCACGGTGATAGTCCAAGGTAGAACCAATAAAGAAGAACGCGAACACAGATATGGAATAACACAGATATATTACAAACAGGAATATATACAGAGAAGTAGAAGTGTTAGTATGAACAATCAGGTTTAGTAGAGAGAACAATGTCTCGACCAGTATCACTATTCCAATGTCTTGCAGTAATTGTCTGAACGGACTGCCTCTGACTCGACTCTTGATTCGACTTGAACTACTGACTCGAACTACTGACTGACGATATTCAGTCAGAACGAGGGCGTCATGTGGCACAAGGCCTTTTTAATGTGGGATCTCCGAGCCCGTGGTCCCGGCCAAAAATATGCCCATTGAACACGTATAAACGGGTTCAGGGTCGAATTACCTCCCCGAAAGAGAATCCGCCCTTCGGCGTAGCCTCTTTCGGGTTCCTCCCCGCCCGAAGGCAGAGAGTTCAACCGATCAGCCGGTTCAGAAGTGAACTACTGACTGACGATATTCAGTCACCACCCCCACGAGGTGTCATGTGGCACAAGGCCCTTTTTAACGTGGGCATTCCTGGAGCCATTAGGCTCGGCTAAAAAGCCCATTTGAACCCGTATAAACGGGTTCAGGGCCGGTTTGTTTTCCCCGAAGGAGACTCCGCCCTCGGCGGAGCCTCTTCGGTTCCTCCCGCCCGTAGGAAGAGAGAGTTAAAACCGAGCAGTCGGTTCAAAAAGTGAACTGCTGACTGACCCTTGCTTACTCCTGAGGGTGCAGTATTTATTAAGTATGGAATAGTCCATTATTATTATTATTATGGGTACGGTCCCATAACTGAGTTTTGACCTCAGTTTCGGGGTTAACTATTTGCCCATAGTTGGGACCCTAACAGGTGCTACCACCCCGGGTCAGGGTGGACCTGGGAACATCAGCGATTAAGAGGTGGTTCCACGCTCCTCAAAACCTCCTGATCAGGGGCCTTGCTGCTGGATGTAGTTTATCGTCTTACCCAGGACGGGACATGGAGATAACAAGTTTGGAAATGGTCAGGCGAAAAAAAGGTAAGTCAAGTTATACGCTGATCCCCCAACAGCAGTAACCAAGGTGAGGTGCACCATGATAATGCCATCTGTGATAATCCTGGCAGTTATGTCATGCATTCTCACTTCTCGAATACTTTTAAAACATTCAACATTATCGATAAAAAATAATATATAATGTTTTTCGAGACTTATCTCTATCTATAAAAGGCAGGATGTGTGTGTGTGTGTGTGTAATGAATGCACGGCCGCAATTTTCGACGGATTTGCACCAAAATTTACATGCACATGCTCCCAAGAAGCAGGAAGGCCAAGACTGACTTTGCATTTCCTAACTCCCATCGATAGTGGAAATAATCGATTTTTTTTTTCATGCTTCTACGGCAGTTTTCATGTAGTTTGCGGCCATTTTCTACTGGCCAGAGTGAGAGCCTATAGCTGGCTGCCATGAATTGGCAGGGAAGATTCTATTGGCCAGCGTGATAGCCAACAGTTGACTGACACGAATGTTAACTAGCATGCTAGCATGCAAAAAAAAATCGATAGCTGCATTCGTCACAAGTGGGAAAAATTTCAATCTGCATGGCACTTTACTCAATTGGCTCATTCGCTTGCTTAAACTCAACGTTGATTCTGATTCCGCAGAACTGGGTTGGGTGTGAAAAAAGTATTTGTTGTTAACATTCTTTTTTCATTCGGTTTTTCCAGTTACGAGTCCTTTTTTTTTTTTTAAAGCTGATCGTTTTGTGTTCATTTTGTTTAGTTCTTTTTTCGTAACAGATTTAATGTTTAGTATAGAGCTTAGAAAAAATTCGCAGTGTGAAGAAGTAAGGCATGTAACAACATCAGCACGGCAAAGGCACTCCTTTAAAGGCAAGGAAGGGCAAAAATATTTTAAATCAAGTGATAGCGATTGCTGTATGAGTCGTACGATTTTTGAATCAAGCACGGACAACGCCGGGCCATGCTGCTAGAAAAAAAAAAATGAAAGACCCCAGAATGATATCAATTTTTTTTTCATCG